CACTCACCGAGCCGTGTCGCTCCCCCCTCCCCACGCAGGTCTGGTTCAAGAACCGCCGAGCCAAGTGGAGAAAGCGGGAGCGGAACCAGCAGATGGACCTGTGCAAGAACGGCTACGTGCCCCAGTTCAGCGGGCTGATGCAGCCCTACGATGACATGTACGCCGGCTACCCCTACAACAACTGGGCCACCAAAAGCCTCACCCCGGCGCCGCTCTCCACCAAGAGCTTCACCTTCTTCAACTCCATGAGCCCCCTGTCCTCGCAGTCCATGTTCTCGGCGCCCAGCAGCATCCCCTCCATGAACATGCCCTCCAGTATGGGCCACTCGGCCGTGCCGGGCATGGCCAACTCCGGCCTCAACAACATCAACAACATCAGCGGCTCCTCGCTCAACTCGGCCATGTCCTCGCCCGCCTGTCCCTACGGGCCGCCGGGCTCGCCCTACAGCGTCTACCGGGACACTTGCAACTCCAGCTTAGCCAGCCTCAGACTGAAATCTAAGCAGCACTCCAGTTTCGGCTACAGCAGTTTGCAAAGCCCCGGCTCTAGTTTAAACGCCTGTCAGTACAACAGTTGACGGACTTGACACAAACCACCTCCGACAAAGCACCGCCGACAAAGCAAAGCAGAAGCGAAGCGACGTTTAACGGAAAAGAAAAAAAAATATTAAACCCGATGATGATTAAAAGCAAAACCCAAGCAAGTGAGAGAGGGGAAAAAATAAAATAAAGCACACACACACCCCCCCCGCCCCCCCCAAAAAAGGCCCAAAAACTCAGCGGACTTCGACTGTCTAGGAAAAAAAATAAAAGGCAAAACAACGATGCAACCAACAAAACAGCGCTTTAAAAATATTTTTTAAAAATTTTAAAAAACCCCTCCATCTAAAACCGTAAACGGACCAGCAAACTTTTGCAAGAGACACCGAAATCTGGTACATGGATGAGTTGCAATTTTTTTCTCTGGATTATGCGGGTTGTATGTGTTTACTTGAACTTGCACAGGAGTCGGTACGGCGGCCGCTGCCCCGCGGGGAGGGCGGCAGGAGGGGACGCCTCAGTGGTAAGAGCTGGTGGGACGGTTCTTGGCCGCTTGTCGCACGGGAAGATTTTGGTTAATGTTTACCACTGAGAAACAGAATCACACTCGGAAAAAAAAAATAAAAAGGTTGGGGGATGAGGGGAGGGAAAAAAAAAAAACAAATCGCAGAGTAGAATCTGCAGGGGGAAAAATGGTTGAAATATTAGGTATGAAACTATTAAAATAATAATGACAAGGGTCAACCACTTATATAAGGTTATATTTATATCTACCGTTGCATTGTGCCGGATCATTGTCCTTGGCCGTTGAATAAACTGTTTTTAAAATGCATGATTCTTGATGTTTTTTCTTTAGTTGGAAACTCTAATCCAATCATTCCTGATACTAAGCAGCTCAAGGTTCCTACCTCTTCGTCCTTTCCAAAAGACTGCAGTATCCCCGGTTGTGAGAGAGCACAGAAACCCTTCAGCGAGGCGAAAACTGTTCATCTTTTTCCCCATCCTAAAAAGTCTTATTCTGATAATGAAATTATCATTCATCTTTATTTAAATGCAGGGGGTGTTTTTTCTCTTTGAAAAGTAAAACGGAAAAGCAACCCCCGTTTATAAAGTCTCAAAAAAAAGACGAAAAATGGTTTGTTATGAAGTGATTTCAGATACTGCATCTCTGCTAGAGAAACAGAGAGCCTCGGCGTCCGGAAAGGTTCTTAGCAAAGCTGAAAGTGTTCCTTGCTTTTCTAAATGTGAAGGAAAAACAAGGAACCAAAAAATTTCTTAAGGTGTTATTATCTTAAGGTGTTATTATGTAAATATAGATACTTTTACAAGTGCTTGTTGGAAAAAAATAAAAAACAACAAACAAAACATGGAAATTATAAATATGATTTTTATTAATACGCATACAAAAGGCATATGAAGTTTAATTGCAGGCATATTTGTTGCTTATTTTTGTCGATACTTATTACCTGTAGATGACAAAGAGACATAAAATGCACACGGTACTTCTTTCCCAGTGTATTTCACACCTGTGGTAAACGTTACGCTGGATGTTTCAATTATGCTGTTGTGGATAAGGATGCAGTATATATATTGTTTTATAAGTTATGTTTTGTGATTTTTTTTTTCAAAATTAAGAGCATGGGAATAAAAAAGAAAACTTTAAAAAAAAACCTAAACAGAAACGAAATCTAGAAATGCCTTTAATGTTCTTTTCTGGCTGTGTTTAAGAAAGCGACTAAACAAGAAGAAAAGCGACTTTCTGTCCCCCTCCCTGTGGTGACATTTTGGGGATCCCCTCCCCGTTTCCCCTGGTAGCTGCGCCGTCTCCCCGCGTCCCGACAGGGAAGGAGCCCCGACCCCTGCACCGCTCCCCGGGGCAGCCCTGGCAGCGCAAACCTTCCCCAGGTCCCATTTTATTTTATTTTTATGGCAGACTGTTACCGCTGTTTGCCAGAGCTGGGGATCCGGCCCTGCTTGCCGCTGCATTGCTGCATCCCACCGTGCCGTGGGTCGGGTTTTTCTCCCCCAAAGAATTAATCCCCGCACCCTGTATCCCCCCCGTGGGTCGCAGCCCTGGCACTGCTTCTTTCCCCGCAGTCCCTCGTCCCGTTTCACTAAGGTGCGTTTTTCTCTTGTTTCTCCAAATTCCCCGACATTCTGAATTTTAAATCTTGTTCGATCAATTCTCCCTCTCCTTTGAGTTTTTGCAAGCACAAACCCCTCTGATTTAATTGCTATTTATTTACTATTTATTAACTATTTCGATTATTATTAATGTTTTGCCCCGATTACCATAACTGATATAACGAATCAGTGGAATACCCGCAGCCGGCGGCAGGAATAGCCACGGCCCCGGCCCTTTCCCGGCCTGAACGCGCTGTTTGGGCGGCCGCGGACGGCCCCGTTCCCCGGGGATCGCAATTCTCTGTGCCCCTGTCCCGGGCTGGGGCTTTGTTCTCAGCAGACCGGGTCCGAGTCTCCCCGGCCTCTCCATCCCTCTCCACAGCCACGGGAGTGTCAACAGAGCAGCACAAGGACTGATTTAACCCCGTTTTTCAGGAGGGAGGGGATCTGCCAGCCCTCCGCTGGGATTTTAGCCAGGATTTTAGGTGTTCGTTTTCTCCTGTTCCTGGAGGTAGCACCATTAGCCCTGAGTCAGAGCGCGGCGTTCGCGTTTTGCCAAAGCCTGCCCCAGGTTTCAGTTGTTGTGGGAGCCCTGAAGCGCCCAGCCCCTCCCGAAAGTGCAGGAAAGAGCTGGGGAGCAAGGACACAGCCTGCTGTCCTCACCAGTGTCCCCCCGCCCTGCGACTGTCCCACGGAAAGCCGATCTGCTGCTGCTGCCGGGCGACATTTGGGCATCTTGACACATTTATGGCTCAGGGAAAGGAAAATTCCAGGGAGACACTGAGCAGAGAGCAGCTCCTTCACCTTCCCTGTGCGCTTTTACGGGCGCAGCCTTTGGGTCTCCCCCACTATGGCTAGAGCCTGAATTATTGGGGGGTTTGGGGTGTTTGAGGCACGGCTGTGCACTGCCTTGCCCAAGCACGTTTTCCTTAGCGATGAGCCTGCGGAGGTGCCCAGGTGTGTGCCCACGCTGGGGGCAGCCGAGCTAGGCTGTCATTTAATGCTTCATTACTCCCCGAGTCCCCACGGGGGGAGGGCAGTGTAAAACACCGCTCCCCGCCACCCTTCTCACTCTGGGTTTTTAACTCCCCTTGCCGGCATCTGGCTGCTGGTGGGTGTTTCCACACACCGGAGGCGATGGTTTTCCATCCCTCGCCCTGCACATTCCTCCCGGTGGTTTCCAGCGAGTGAAGCTGGAGCTCCTGAAGCTGCATCACTTGGATCCCGAGAGGCTCCATCCCGGTGGGACTGCAGAGTCCCCAGATTTCTGCTTACTGATTGCGGGCTTTGTCAAGGCAGGCAGATCCCTGGAGCCAGAGAAACACCGGAATCAAGTTTTCCATTTGTTCTGGGTGTGCTGGCTTACCTATTAGCATTTCCAAAGCAAAGCTGCCTGGGGAGAGCTTTGCCCGGGTTTGCTGGGGAATGCTGCGTGGTCCTGAGGGGTCCCAGACCAGCCCAGGAACGGCTGCACAGCCGAGCTCTGGCTGCACCAGCCCAGATGAAGTTCACAAATGCCTCAGACTGCACAGTCCGTTCAAGATTAAATGTCTTCTAATAAAAAGCTGTGGTCAGTTTAATTCTAAATTGCATACTTCTCTTTATCTGTGGCCTGGAACTCAGCAAACTATGCAAAGTCCCATTTAAATTAATAGGATGCTTCAGTACAGATTTTAATGGGGTTTTGTATAATAAAAATAACACCTAGAAATGCCCTAACATTTTGCTGCAATCTTGCAACAAAAGTCAGTGGAACTGGGATAATAAAAATACAGGTTTTATATGAAACCTATGAAGGGTTTGTCATTAACTTCAGTGGCACAGTTTCAGGCCTTATTATTTTAGTATATGCTTGTATAAGTAAAAATTACTTTATCAATTAAATGAGAATCTGTGACTTTTCTGTTTTAGTCTGGCAACTTGTATGTGAAATATTTAGTTTGATGTTATCAAAACAGCCAAATATACCAACTTATAAACCAGCCCATATACAAAGACTGAGAACAAACAAAAATACAAAATTACACAGTGTTTTTGCTCAGTTTGCCCATCAAACAAAGCTGAGTTGTTACTTTTAAGAAAATACTTCATATCCCTCCTTTAATCTATCAAAGAGAACAGTTCTCTGCTCAGCCTCATAGAAAACAGTAAAAACCTCCATCAAAGTAAAATATATTTTAATTAACAGAGCTGCAAAATAAAATCCACAGCTATGCAGCAAGCCTCCTCTGTGGCTCACCATTGTGTGAACTGCTTGGACAAGCTGCTCTTATTAACAAGCCATGGGCTACACTCTGTTCCAAACTGATTAAGCAGTAGGGCTGCAGGCAGATTTCCTATCAAAAATGTTTCAATGGCAGCCAGCCTGTTCTTCTGCAGAGTGATGGGTTTTTTTACACGAAAAAATAATTTGTTTATCCCCAACTCCATTTTCTTTAATGAAGAAAGTATACGCACAAAAATTTAATTTACCAAATAACTTCCCAACAAATAAAAATTCTCATAGGAAATAAAAAGAAGAAAAATGAAACAACATATGTATTTGATCCCCCCCCCCCTTCTTCACTCAACCATTTCTTGCAGAAAGCCAGGTAACAATGCTCAGCCTCTGCTAGAGACAAGCAAATTTGCTCTCAAATCTTCCCAGGAGATCAGTGGAGCTGAGGAAGGCTTGTGCCCGGGGCCAAACCCCAGCGATGTAAATGAGCCCAGAACCAGCTCCTCCCGACACCTCTGCCCATGCAGCCCTGCAATCCGCGGCAGCCTGAGATTCCTCCCCGGAATCACATGTAAAACAGCACTCACTCCGGGTTGCTAATTCAAGTCTTGCAGAGCAACTTCAGACCTCCCCTGTCAGAAAAAAAACCCCAGAAAATCTATGTGTTAATATGCAAAAAACCCAAAAATCTGACCTAGTATGAGCAGGGACAAAGTAGTGGCTGTCCCCCAGAAGCACAAA